GATCAAATAGCATCAAAAAACGGTTAAAACATGGGTAAAGTAACATCAACACATATCGAAATACGCCCAACATCATTTAGCAAAGCCTCAAAATATAAGGTAAGTAATGCACTAAAAATATATAATTATAGCCAAATATCAGTACTCATGAAGGGTAAACTATATTCTAAATTGTATCATCTTCAGGCCAGTGTAGTTGAAGGGGAAGCTACTGTATCTTCTGGGAAAAGTGATCCGAATCAGTCTCAGTTATGGCACTTGCGACTTGGTCATATGAGTGATAAGGGATTGTCTTTGCTGAGTAAGTAGAATTTTCTGAATGCGTATAAAAATTAAGTTTTAAACTTTTGTGAGCATTGTGTGTTTTGGTAAACAGACAAGGGTAAATTTCAGCAAGAAGGCCGAGCACAAGACCAGAGGCAAGTTAGATTATATACATTCAGACTTGTGGGGTCCAATCAGAGTTCCCTCCAAGAGTGGTGCCTGGTATTTTATAACTTTGATTGATGATTACTCAAGGATGGTGTTGGTGTATTTTCTGAAAACAAAATATGAGGCATTTCCGACATTTTTTAAATGGAGGACGATGGTTGAGAGGCAGATGAAAAGAAAAGTTAAGCGTCTTCGAACTGACAATGGGTTGAAATTTTGCAATTCTGAGTTCAATAATTTCTGCAGCAGAGAGGGCATAGTGAACCACATTTTTTTCGGAACACCACAACAAAATGGTATTGCAGAACGTATGAACAGAACGCTTTGTGATAGGGCACGGAGCATGCTTTCACACTCATGTGTTAGGAAGGATTTTTGGGCTGAAGCAATCAATACAGCTTGTTATTTGGTCAACAGATCTCCATTCACAACTATTGAGTTCAAAACTCCTTTTGAGGTATGGTCCGGTTCACCTGCTAGTTATTCAAATTTAAGGATATTTGGTTATCCTGCTTATGCTCATGTGAGGGATGGAAAACTTGAGCCGAGGGCAAAGAAGTGCATATTTCTAGGGTATGCAACTGGAGTGAAAGGTTATAGATTGTGGTGCACAGATCAAAAGACTCTAGGGCTAATTATCAGTAGGGATATAACATTTAATGAATCTACCTCACAGGACCGTCAGAGGGAGAAGGCAATAGCAGAAACAGATCGTGGTATCAGTGACCGCATAGAGCTAGAAATTGAATCTTCACTAGCTCAGTCCAGTAGTTCTAAGGTAGAGAAAGTGGAGGAGGTGAAAAATATTGATCGAGATGATAATGTTGATGCATCTGCGCAACAACAACCATTTAGCATTGCAACAGGCATAGAGAAGAGAGTGATCAACCGACCGTAAAGATTTGCAAACGTAGTTGATGGGAATCTTCTTGGATATACGAATCCTGTGGGATTTGCTTTGGCAGTTGCAGAGACCGTTGATGCGTTTAAGTGTTATAGCTATCCAGAAGTTATTCCGGGTACAGAACCAAATCGATGGATTAGTGCTATGGCTAAAGAGATTGAGTCTCTTAACAAGTTTAGGCGTTGCCTAGACTTGGTTAATGTGTGCGACAATGGGTAGACCCCTCGTGAGGCATGAGGACAAGGTAGATAGACGTTGTTCCTGTTAATGAGGAGAATTCAAGCCAAGGGGAAGATTTTTTATTTTATGGCTTGAATTATTTCCTTGTATTTTTAGGAAACTCATAATCCCTATAGGTTTAGGGAAACTCATTGTCCTAATAGATTTGGGAAAGAAAAACCTATAGTCCTTGTCAAATTGGGAAATCTTTCTCTTATAGGTTTGAGATTATTTGGGATCTATATATAGGGGTTGTAGTTGGGGATTATATAAATTGTATTGTGCTTTTCTTCTCATTCATAGTGAAAAACTCTCTCAGCTTCTGCCCCGAGAATTAGGCTTAGCCGAACCTCGTTAAATCCTTGTGTTGATTTTTCTTCTCTATTTGCTTTGTGTGTGATTGTGTGCTAGTTAACTCACGATCTTCCGCAACATAAACAAACAACGGGATTATTTCCTCTTCTCCAATTCTATATGATCCGAATAAATATTTAAAAAAAATTAGGAGTTCTCTCCCTAAATTAAATACGAGAATTTTTCACGCTCCTCAACCGTAAATTAAAGTCAATGTTCTCGTAGTATATTTAGTCGAGATCCAAAAGTCCAAAGCTAGCAGCCGCAAGTCCCTTAGATGTGCAATATTCTAGACTGCCTAGTTAAAAAAGACAAAGAATTCAAAAAGTGATTTCATTTATGAGTTTTGCCAACATCAATTTGCGGAAAGCTCCACTTACTTAATTCACATAATCCCGTCGAAATTTTAGCAATTTAATTTCATTTGTTTCAACAAAGATGAAAACAAAACACTGAGAAATAGTTTAGTGGTAGAGTTGGTACTTCACATTACATCTTTAAGGTGTAACATTCAATTTTGACTAGATCATTTTTTTCCTTTTCCTTTACCCCAAGCCTTTCCATCCAAAAGAAAAAGAAAAAGAAAAAAAGAAGATAAAAGAGTATAGAAAAACCAAAATTTTAAAACTGCACAAAGCAATTTTGTATCAATTTCTTGCATATGTAAATACTTTCAAGACCTTATATTGACTTTTCTAAAACTTTCGGTACCTCTTTCCAAAAATCAAATATTTCAAAAATATCCTTAAAATTTCTTAAAAAGAATATGATAGCGTAATAGAAACTTTATTAAAAAAAATAGAATCTCAATATTACAGAAAATCAGATAAAAGCTGGCAAACAGTCTTTGAACCTTGTCTTTTTATCCATTGCCCCACTTCATTATTATTTCTAACCCTTTTTCTTAACGTTCCTATTTTCAAATACCGTTGGAGGCAACATATTTAAATCCTCCATTACCAAAGAAGGCCACATTCTCCCCTACCCCTCCCACCTCACCCCACCCCACCAACCAACAAACTTTCATATAAACACACTGCAAATATACAAGACAAAATCTTCCTCCATTTTCTCTGCAGGGGTTTTTGGAAAATCACTAAAGCATAGATCTTTTTAAAAATGGGATGTTTTCTTGGTTGTTTTGGTTTTACCACCAAGAAACAAAAGCGTATAAAGCCTTGTAACAAGTTCCAAGTAAGTTCCCACTGCTTGTTAAATTAATTTGTGTCAGTTTTTAAATGGTTACAGGGCTGATGAATTAGTTAGAAATGATGGTTTATACTTGTGTTGATTTTAACTCTATGCAAAATTTTAATTTTTCTGAGCCGAGGGTCTATTAGAAATAGTCTCTTTACTCCTTCCCTATCCCTTGCCTCTAGGGTAGAGGCAGCGTACACACTACCCTCCCCAAATCTCACTTGTGGAATTATACTAGGTTGTTGTTGTAGTCGTCGTTGTTGCAAAATTTTGATTTTCTTTTATATATATGAATTGGATGAAGCCAAATCCTTTCATAAGAAGTGTTTCCCTTGTGTTATTCGAATTCTAAATAAGTTTGCTTTTTTGAATCTTGTTTATAGGTGCATCAAAAGTATGTACAACTAGACTCTGAGAAGGCAAATGCTGCAGATTCTGTAAATTCTGAACCCAGGTGAGTCAGTAACTCATGAGTTTTTCTTCTATTTCTTTTCATTTTCTTTATAATAGTGGTGTCTGGATCAGTTTATGCATCTCTACCATTTCACTGAATACCTGCTATCTTCTACTAGCACAGATATTAAATAGTTCTACCCAATACGGATTAGACAAATGAGATTTAACCACCTAGCTTTTTTTATTTGTCTTCTTTGGAATTTGAACATTGATCTCTCGTAATTTTCACTGGCTTCGAGGCCATCGCAAATTTTGTTTGGCTTTTCTTGATCTTCCATAATTTTCACGAACTTCATTAACGCCAATTAGGGAGTTTGTAAATTTTATAATAAGGAAACAGAATAATTCCAAGTTGAAAAATCATAGATAGAATATCCACGGCAGGGTCTAGACCACAATTGCCAACATCGCCCAAAATCGGATGTCACAATCATCACAAGCATCTAATTTTTACAGACTTTATTGACTTGCGTGGTCACTTTCATGTTTTTTATTTGGTTTGCATGCAGGGATAAGCCTAAAGAATCATCAAAACCTAAGGTAAAAAAGAAAGTGAGCTTCAATTTGAATGTTAAGGCGTATGAGCGAATCCAAGACGATGACAACAGCACAACATATTTCTCAGATGAAGAGCAGACACAATGTGTATACAATGAACAAGAAACTGCAAAAAACAGTATGTCTATGTACCCTTCAAGTTATCGATACTATAACTGCAACGATGAGGAAGACGAGATAACACTTGAGGAAAGTGATATCGATGAACTTGATGAAGAAGACTATGGCGTTAGCGATGATGATGATGATAATGAAGATGGTGGCGACGAGACAGAAAACAAGTTTGAAAATGATAAAAGGCTGAACAAAGATGAAACAAATGAAGTAAGTCAAGATAATAGGAATTTGTATGGGAATTCTGTGCTACTTCCAGTTGAAAATCTCACTCAATGGAAAGCAGTTAAAGCTAGAGGAGCACAGCAAGTGAAGCATCAGAAAGAAAACACTATCAAATTGGATGGAAAACAAGAAATACCTTTGCTTAAAAAGCCAGTAATCAATTGTGCAGACCTAAATCTCAAAGATAACTCTAAGCCTAAGGCTAAGGAGCATGAAATTCCAGTTGATGCCAGTCTCTCAAATTGGCTGGTTTCAGCAGGAGCAGCATCAGTAAATCGCTCAGCTGTGTACTATATTGAAGATAGAGCTAAAGATCATCAAGTTGTGCTTGATATAGTCAATACTATATAAACAAAGAAAGTGCAGAGAATGGCCTAAATACATTTGAATTGATGTTTTTGTGTAAAGTATTGTTTGTCTTTATGTTTGGACAGTACATGATTTGTGAGTGCAGTTGTGTTGTATTCTTATAGACAAATTTGGGGACATAAGATTCCATTTGGGGAGCCTTGTATTTGGTTGAGAAGCATATGAATGTTGTAATTCATTATTTACAAAAAACAAAGTAGTGGACAAATGAAGAAAGATGTTACAGAACAAATCTTGCTATGCATCTAGCTATATGCTAGAACACAATCATCAGATGTAAGCTTCAGTACTCATATACATTATATTTGGAGCAAAAGAAAACAAGAAAAACTGAAGGTTCTGTATGCTACATACAACAGAGGAAGTCATTCTCTCTATCTGATTGTGTACAAAGGAAAGAGTCGATTCATTTGGCTCGAGGTGCCAGGTACGTTGAACCAAAATTAGACAGTTGACTCTCTTTAACAAACTGCTGTTATTGTAGGCTATATAAGATGTGAATCAAGGAGATTCAACGCGTTGATTCACCCTGTATTAAGTCAAAGGAGATTCAACTGGTTTGGTAATGCATTCACTGAGAACTACATTATTCTGCAAATGCAAGAATCTGATTCATCGTCATCTGAGTCACTGGTATCACTGCAGAACAAACAAAAATTTATACGTTAAGAGTAATCCAAACTATTATAAAAACATAGCATACAATTCCAACTTCAGAACTAATCCATTCTTGTCTTTTTGATGAACTAAAGAAACTATATCGAGCAGTGTTCTGCAACTGCAAGTGCCAGATTGCCAACACTCTGAGATAACATAAACAATGGCTCATTAACAAAAATTCAATATCTACACTCGTTCTGGATGTAAACCATTAAAGTCAAATTTATTATGAAAGTGAGTTTTTTTTGGATAAAGGAAAATGATATATTTTCCCATCTTAATCTGAAAGTTGGGCAGTATACAACTTTATGATGTAACCAAGTTTAGCTTATGTAGTACACTACAAAAACTAGTTCGGTAGGACCTTTATGTATCACAATAATTATGAAATTAGTAATGACTCAGAGCATGGATGTCCAAGAACTTGCCAACTTTATACCATAAGAAAAGGTACTCAACTACATAACCATCACCATTTGGAAGGAAAGCTAAAAATAAGATATCACAAGATTTCAAATGGAATGTCTAAATCATGGTAGAAGTTCCGCTCTAAAACAATATGATTATACCGGGATGAGGTAGACATTCCATTTGAACATCTACCCTTTGTTATATAGAGCCAAATAGTCACCTGCGAATTACTTTTCCACCTGTCAACTAGTTTTTGCCCTTTTTCCATTTTAAGAACCAAACATCAAATTACGAGGATTATGTGTTTACGCTAGGGATAATAATGGGGCAAGGTGGGGTAGGGCAATGCTTAGGTAGACAGGGCAGGGCAGGATGGCGGTCAATGCTTATTTTTCTAAAATAGTAAACTATATAGTGGGCAGGGAAGGGAGCCATGGGTGTCTGCCTCTGATATAACCACTTTAACCTACAACGACAGAAAGATGTAGTAGGTTTCCGTACTTTTGCATTCTGCCTTGTTAGTATTACTTAGTTCATGAAATGTTTGTATTCTCCATTGTTGGATTTAGGGTATATTTTTGAAGCTTTAGAAAAAAAGATTTTGTTCAGGGTTATGGTTGAGTATTTAGGATTATTATACTGGGACTTCTAAATCTTTGTTATGTGAGCTTGTTTTCTGCAGGCACGACCTTTGAGAAAATGGAAAAGTTAGTTTCTAACTAAAGCTTTACTGCTTATGTAGCTTTTAGATAATTTAATTGGTAGTATAGGAACAGCTTTCGCCTGAGTAAAGGTCTTAGACCCTCACCTCATAGCAGTGAATATCAATGACCAGTTAGGTAAGATGCAGAATTTTAAACATGTTAGATGGATTTGGCCAGTTGTTAAAGCGTCTACGGTGTGATTTCTGAGATGATTGGCTATCTTTGAAAGGAGCGAAAAGAAAAGGCAAAACTAGGTAGCAGATTTGGCTTTTGGGTAACCTCCACATTGGGAATGTTATGTTTTTACATTGTAAATATTCTGGGAAAATAGTATAACTTTTACAAGGATATTTTCATATCGCTAGCTATCATCATCATGGTTTTGTAGGAAACTATTTGCACTGCCATGTATATTTATTTTTGGGAAAAGGGTCAAATATGCCCCTTTACTGTGCGAAAAAGATCAATTTACCCTCCGTTATACTATTCATCCATAAATACCCGTGACGCCATAAAAGTGGCTCAAATATACCCTTCCTCCTTTAGGGCTTTCCAAGGTGGAAGCTCAATCCTACATGGCACTGGCATTTTGGCAAGGTGGACACTACGTGGCATCGCCCAAACCCATGTTACACCCTTCCCTACACTTCTTCCACCACTAGCACCTCCTCCCCTTCCACCACCACTTTCACAATCAACATTACCATGGCCACCACCATTTTCATTGGTGTTCAACATAGCTGTTCAAGTGCTGTTGGAATCCCTCGCTGCTGCCTCATAAAATTAAATTAAAAAAACCAAAGTTGAGCTGCTAGATTTTTTCCATATGCTTTAGGAAGGCATCGATTAAAGAATAATTGGTCTACCAATTAAGGTGGACGAGCAGAGCCAAGAAGGTTTTACCTTCCGATATGTTTATATGTATTGTCCTCCCTACTAATATGTGTTAGAAGATCCAATTTCAGCGGATGGTGTAAATATATTTCTTCATGATTGAAAAAACAAGAAAGTTAAAAAAAAAGTCTTCGAATTAGGCCTAAAATGTTAAGCAAGGTCTTTTCAGTTGTTGAAGGATGAGTTTACAATTCTTTATTCTTTTCTTATTTACAGATGATCAAAATAATTCTTATCTAGAGTTTTCATGTACACATAGATATTGCTTAATCAACACCTGAACAAAAACCAAGTTTTAACCATGAACAACATAAGAAAGCTACCTTACAAAACCCACCGAAAAAATAATAAGAAATTCAAGGAGAAAAATTATTTTCTTACCTGTTTATGAAAAATTGATCTGAAGGATATGTGCCCTCTAAATATATCCCCATAAAAGACAAAAATATACAGCAAAGGGTACTCGAAATTGTCTGAAAATGGGTTTGAATTGAAATGGAATTATAAGCGAAAAGATATCTACATTACTAATTTCGAAATGGAGTTGAAATGATAGTTTTGTTGAACACCAATGAAAATGGTGGCTGTCATGGTAATATTGATTGTGAAAGTGGTGGTGGAAGGGGAGGAGGTGTTAGTGGTGGAAGAAGTGTAGGGGAGGGTGTAAAATGGGTTTGGGCGATAAGGTGGCATGCCACGTGGCGTCCACCTATCCAAAATGCCAGTGCCATGTCGGATTGAGCTTCCATCTTGGAAAGCCCTAGCGGAGGAAGGGTATATTTGAGCCGCTTTTATGACGTCGGGGGTATTTATGGACGAATAGTATAACGGAAGGTAAAATTTATCCTTTTCGCATAGTAGAGGGGCATATTTGGTCCTTTTCCCTTTAATTTTTACTATTTCAGTATGCATAAGATTAAAGTCATTATCTTCAGGTACACCTAGTTGTTAGAGTTAAAAAGATTACTATAATTCAGAGGATAAAATATAAAAAAGAAAAAGAAGACTATGATTCAGAGGACAAAATATAAAAAAGAAAAAGAAGCAAACTGAAATAGAAAAGTTTTAAAAAGAAAAAAAAAGTTAAGGAGGCTGGACAGCGTGTAAATAGGGAATTATGTTAAAAAAGGGCAGGGCAGGGCGGGTTAAACGGTGGCGGAAGAAAGAATCATAAGCCCCATTTACCATCCCCAGTTCCTCTTAGCTAAGCCTAAGCAATAAACATAAATTTAATCTTAATAGATGTGAGAAAAGTCAGAAAGCAACTTTAATTGAAAGCACAAAAATAAAAGGTGTCAGTACCTATGGAGCAAGCTACCCTAACTCATTTTTTCGATAATTAACAAGCTACCTTAATTATACACCAGGCTTCAACCGAACTCCGGTTATCTCTTACCTCATTTCCTCTGATCAAAGGAAACTGCAGTTACTTTTTTCACACCCATAAGCGGACCACAGTTAAAGTGATAGAAATGCTGTTAAATCAGAGATAAGCATTGCTCCCAACTGGGTTAAAACCCCTTATACTCTGTTTGTTTCCCTTGAGTGAAGATCAGAGAGAAATGTAAGTGATTTAATTTCTCCTCTGTCCAAAAGGGCGGAAGAAGCAAACATGGAGGAATTTCCCACATTCTGACCAAAAGAAAAAAGAAAATAAGTTGCATACATCCTACCCTCCCCAGACCCCACTTGCGGGAATCCACTGGGTTTGTTATTATTGTTGTTTACTCCTATTCCACTTTGTAAATTTTTCTACCCTTCCTTTTCATTGCTCAATCCAGCCTAGAGGAAGTATTGGACCTCCTAGTTCATATGTCAAATTAAATCTGGGGGCATTGGTACTGAAGACTGGAAAGAGTCCAACTCTACTCACCTTACTAATAATATATTGTGCAACCTACAAAATCCAATCAAAATATCATTTTGGTTGCTGAAATTTTGTCAAGACACATATACTCTAGTGCTCAATTTTACTGTGATGACGTACGAAAGCAAACTGTAGAGACACACAGTTCCAAGCAGATGGTTCTATGCAATAGTATTGTCGATAAGTCATATCATGAGAAAGGGCTTCACCTCTCCCAAGTTGTTAATCCTACTTCTCTTCTCGAGCTGCACACATTTTTCTTAGACCAAGATTTCTTAAAGATTCTACACTAGTACTTACTTCCGCAAGGATCTTTAGATGTTTGAGAAACCTATAATGAATGCAATAGATGGGCAAGCTAAGATTAAACGAGTACTACCAGCTCATTTAATGTCTATATTGTCAAACAGAAGTGCTTCTAAGTAGGGGGAGTTGCCACTAAATTCACTTTCATATGAAACGACAGCATGCTGCATTTGGATGGCATACTACTTAAGCATTTTTTTCACTGTGTTTTGCCTTTTTGGATAGGTTGAGCATTTAATTGTTATGCTACTCAATGCTAACAGTGAAGCTTGTAGGTTTTGACAAGATCAAGGCCAGT